TATATATAATTTATATTTTTATATATATATTTTTTAATATTTATAATTAATTTATTTAATATTATATAAAATTTTTTATTTATAAATTTATATTTTTTAATTTTTTTTTTTTTTTTAATCAAATTTTTTATATAAATGAAATTTTTAATTATATTTTAATATTAAAATTATATATTTGTTTTTTAAATTTTTCATTATAATTTTAATAGGGGATATATTTTTTAAATTTTTTATACTAATATTTTTATTTTATATTTACATACTTTTTTTAATAATTAATTATTTCTTTTATGAATGTTTTTTTTTTATATATGTAAAATAATATTTACTTAATTTTTTTATATATATTTTTTTAATTTCATTTAATATCTAATTTTTATATATTATATATATGAATTTTTTTTTTCTTTTATAATTAGAAAATTTTTATTTAATTCAATTTTTTTATTTTGTATTTATAAATAATTATTAAATTTCTTTTTATTTTTGAATTAAATATAATTATTTATTTCTAAATTTAATTTATTTCATAACTTTATTCATATTTTTATATTTTAATTGTTTTAATTTTTTTTATGTTTCTGTATTTTTCGAATTCTTAAAAAATATATTATTTTCATTAAAAATAATTTAACATTATAAATTTTAAATTAATATATCAAAAAAATATTTTTATTTTTATATAAAATTCTTTATATATAATATTAATTTTTCTTTTAAAATTTTAAGATTACTTATAATAATTTTAAATATTTATATAATATATATTTTATATTAAATTTATAAAAACACATTATACTTATTATTTTAAAATGAGCATTAAAAAAATTTGAATATATATATATATATATATATATATTATATATATATATATATATATATATATATATATATATCTTAATTTTTATAAAAGAAATAGTTTGATAAATTATATATTTTTTTTTTTCATTTTACTTAAAACTTTCTTAACATAAATATTAAAAATAACTCAATATATAGAGCACTAAATGTCTTAATTTTTATTAATATACCTGTTTATATATTTTTATTATCTAAATTTTGTTATTTTATTAATTTAATCTATTTTTTTTTGTATGTAATTTAAATGTCTTTAAAATTAAATAATTTTTGTTTTTTATTCTACATTAATGGCAAAATAAATTTTCAAATTTCTTATAATTTTTTTTATAATTATCTGTTTTTACTCTATGATAATTTTTAAGATGCCATTAATTTAATTTTGCATTATGACCATTACACTTATATTGTTTATAATTTGATACTTTAATTACAAATTCAATTACAATCAAGTCTAAATTTAGTGTTAAATTAAAAAAAAAAATATTTTGTAGTTTTCTATTTTTATAAATATATTTTATTTAATTTTTTCTTAATTTCTGTATTATAAATTAAATATAGGTTTCATTATTCTGAAAATACCTAATATTTTTTAAAAGAATTGGAAACTAATTTCATAACTATTAATATATATATAAAAATATTATTTTTATTCTGAAAATCTCATTTTTTTAAAACTTGATGATTTTTTATTATCAAGTTATCTTTATTATTTAGTTCTTTAGTTGTATTCGTAATTTTATTGCCTGTATAAATTTCTATAGATTATTTAATTATCTTTTTATACTATACTTACTTTTTTAGATTGTAAACCTTTATTTTTCTAAAATATTTATCCATATTTTTTTTTATAGTTTTATGTATTTTGGGATTGTTTTTCTTTAGTTAAATTATTTGTTTATCATTCTGCATTTTAGAGCTTTTTTCATACTAATATTATAACTGTGTTTATTATTTATTTCTATTATTAGAAATTTAGCTTAAGTTTTAGGAAAGTATATGCTCATATTTAATAGTTATATTTTATGGTTTTATGGTTTTAATCATAATATAATTTTATTTATTTTTTATTGGTAATAATATTTATTACTATATTTTTTTATATGATTTTCAATATATTAAAGCCCTTTTTGTAAGTGTATAAATAAAACTGAGCTTTAGGAATCATTATTTTTATGAAGGGAAACTTATTCCTGCTTTATTTTGTATAGTTAATTCATTTAATTTCTGAATAAATTATTAATTTAAAATTTAAGATATGCATTTACACGGGATTAAATATATATATTTTTTCATAAGTTTTTAATGCTTCTAGAATAAATTATTTAATAATAGTTTATCACTATTTTTGTTTGTATACTTTAATATTTATAATTTTAGATAACTTGAAAATTTGAGATATAATTTTCTTTTTTATTTAAAATTGTTTTAATTAAAAAAATATAATTATAAATTATTTCAATTAAACTATCAGTTAAATATTAAATAAATATATAAATAAAATGCAAACAGTCAATGATATTTTCAAAATATTAAATATTAATAAACCTTATAAATACAATTAAAAAAAACAAGATAATAAACAATTATAATAATTTATACACTTAATTATATTTAAAAAGATAAAAATATAAAAATTAAGTATTTAAATCTTATAGTTATCTTTTTATTAAAATAAAATAAAGTAAAATAAAAAATAAATTAAATAAATAAATAAATAAAAAAAAATTAATAATAATATTAATTTAAAATAAAAAATAAAAACAACAACAAAAAATATAAAATTGAATATTTATATATATTTTTGAATTAAGCTATAATTTAAAAAATATATAATTATATATATATATAGTATGATTTTTAATTTTATGCTTTATTTTAATCGATATTTATTTAATACTACTACTATTATTAAAATTTATAGATGCTTTTAAAAATATAATTATTCATAATTTTTATTTTTAATATTTAAACATATATAATATAAAAATTACAATATTAAATATTATCTAAAAATTATAAATAATAATAATTATTTAATTATTAAATATTTAAAAAAAAAATATTAAAGTAACTTTTAAATAATTTAAAATATATATTATATCTATAAAGTACAATTTTATAATTTATTTTAATATCAATATTTAAAATAATTAATAAATTAATATTATCATATTTTTTAAAAATAAATGTAATTTAAGAAAATAAATAAAATAAAATATTAATATATAATATTTAAAAATTTATTTTATATATAAACATCTATTTAATTTTTAAATACTTTTTAAATGTAATTTATTTTTATTATATATAATAATAAAAATAAATTACATTTAAATTAAAATATAACTTTTAAATATTTTTATTAATAAATATTACAATAAGATATTTGAAAAATAAAAAATATATATAATTATTTTAATAATTCATATCCTAAATAAATAAAGATAATAAAAATATAAATAATTTTTAGTTTTCACAATTATATAATTTCATAAATTTTTATTTATATATTTTCATATCAAAAAAATATATAAATGAATATATTTTTATTTTTTCATATATATTATCATACTTCATTCTTCATCTTTTTATCTTCTATCTTTTATTTTTTTGGCTTTAACAATAACTTTATCAATAATAAGGGGTTCAATCAAATTGCAATCAATTTAATTTGGTTTTAAACAACTTTTTTCTTCATTAGAAGAGCTATTTTTAGTCGTAATAACAATATAAACCCATCCATTTCTAAAATGGCTTGTAACTTCTCTAATTTGGACTCTATCAATATTAATTATACCATTATTAATATTTTTATCTACTTAACTATTTTTAAGTATTTTATTTCCGGAAATATTCATATCAATAATTTTGGGTGGATTTTCTGAAGTGTATAGGCAAATACTTAAAGAGATTTTTGTATTTTCCGCCGGTACAACAATATTAGAGTTTAAATCAACTAGTTTTAACGATAAATCAAAATTCCTTTCTCTATAAACAGGGAATTAAATAGGGGAATTAAGAACTAATTTATATTAAAATCTAGTACATTAATCTTTAAATAAAAATTATAAAATTCCATCTGAATCAATTGTTTCTATAGAATTAGCTTAAGAAAAGGGAATAAATTAATTAATTTAATTATCATTATTATTAAAATTAATTTATCTATTCTATTATTTTAATTACTTTACTTCATCCAACAATATATTTAAAGTTTTTACATTTTATTAGTTTATTACTTACAAATCATTTAGTTATTTATTCTAAAAAATTAACATTCCAATCATTTTATTCTAAAATTCATTGACTTAATTCTAATTACTCGAAGATTATTGAGCTAAACTACTCTATAATTAAGAAACATTTTCCTATAGATTCTAACTACTACTATTGCAACTACTATTACTTTCAGTTTATTTCACTTTCTTTACACAATTAAATATAAAATTTTATTTAGGGATTTACATTTGTATTCTGGGTTTAGGTATAAAAGGTTATTATTATTACAAGTTATAGTTATTTTATATTAATGTGGTAAAGTCTGGTTGTTTAAAAGTTTGTAGTATAGGGGCCATTTATTAGTTTGGAAACTAATTTTAAAGCAAAAATAATGAATTTAAGTGACTACACTAACCATTTTGGCAGTTACATTTTGAGTCAAGTAAGCACATATTTTTTTTTTTTTTTTTTTTAATTACAATATTAAAAAGTTAAATTAATTATTATAATATTTAATTTTATATAAACTATATAAACTTTTTTTTCCCTTAATAAAAAGCAAATTTAATTTAAAAATTCATATAAAATTATAATTTCTCATTAAATTTCCTTTTTTTTTTTCTCACTTAAATAACTTTTTTTTTTTTTCTTCAAATATTTTATAATATTAAAAAAAATTAAATTTTTTTTTTTTTTTCAATTTTTAATTTTGTATTTTTATTAAAAAAAAAACTGCTTTTAACAAATATAAATATATATAATTGTATATATAATTTTTTAATTTGAAATTTATTCTAAATAAATAATAAAAAAAAAAATATATAAAAAGTGATATTTATACAAAAATGAACCTTGATTAGATTTTCGATTAGTATATTTATTATTATTTTTATTAATTTATTTAAAAAGCTTTATTAAAATAGTATTTTAAAAAAACCTTAAAATTACCCAGGAAAACATCTAGAATCGTAGCCAAGAACAAATCCATCATATAAGCCATTAGAACCCAAAGCATAAGTAAAAAATAAAAATATATATATATAATTATGTTAATAAATGTATAAAATAAAAAAATAAAGTTCCATATAATTTTTAAAGCAACAAGTGAATACATTTTAGAAAAAATGAAAGATGGAAAAGTAAAAATACATATATAAAAAAAAAAATATAAAAAAACAAAACGTTTAAAAAAAAAAAAAAAATTAAACAAAAAATAAAAAAGGGTGTCAATATTCCTGATTTCGGCGCTTTTACTTTCGAAGTATTTTCAGATTGGATAAAACCTGCTTAACATTCAAATTTCGATATTACAAAAGATTTGGATGAATAAAGAACAGACCGTAAACATGTACACAAAATCAGGTATAACTAAAAAAAATAATTTTAAAAATTAAATAAATTTATAAAGACCTTGCTTTATACCAAATTAAAAATTTAAATATGCATTAAATAGATATCCAGGAAAAGAAGAAATATCGGCTCCTAAAAGTTAACATTCTATATATTAAAAAGGATTCGGAATGACTTTTTGCAATGCAGGACCTATTGCTGCATCTTGGTATTTTTTTAATTTTAAAAATATTGTTATACATTTAATATTAAAAAAAGCTTTTTAGGAAAGGATGTAGTACAAAGTGCTCATTATGCTTTCATTTCAGCTGTTTAAGATTTAACAACATTAGGTAAAATTAATAAGAATATAAAAAGTAATAAAAAAAAAAAAAAGGATATTCGCTTGTAATTGATTTATAATTTGTAAAAATAATGGTTCAATAATATAATTTGAAATATTAATACAGACAGGATATAATTGAATAATTAAACAGAAAATAATATGAATTAAAAGTATATTTTATTAAAAAATAATATATATATATATATATATATATATATATATATATTTATATTATAAATATAATAATTTAAACTAAATTTTAATAAATTAATTATTTTATTTTTTTAGTTAAGAAAATCTGACACTCCATCATCAGAACACTGGACAACAACTTATTAATAAAAATGGGGTTAGAGCTCGTAATTTTTTTTTTTTTATTTAAATAATATATATTTATTTTATAACTAATCTAAAATTATAGTTTGAATACTCTTTTAAAAAGACCAAATAGTAGACAAGTTAGAGATTATTATGAAAAGACTTTAGCACTTAAAATTATGTCTTTAGATTTAAGTACTGCAGAAAGAATTTAATATTCTAAAATTTAAAAGATTTTACCTCCAATTTAAAAAAAATGAAATTAAGTTTTTTTTTATTGATTAGAAAAATGTTATATTAAATATTTAACATTTATAATTTTATTTATTATATAATTATTTTAAAAATTAAAATTATATATTAAAAATTATTCGAAGTGATAAATAATAAAATAAAGAATTTATTTTATTTTAAAAAACTAAAAAGTATTTATATAGTCAATAAAAATAATATTTTATATAAATAATAATACACATAAATTAAATAATATATATCACTTTTTTCTTTTATAAATAAATAAATGAATATACATTTTAAATAATTCAATTAAACATTAAAATAATATATACATATTTCTCAATAAAAAACATTTAATGACAGATTGATTTTAGTTAATAATTATGATGAATAAATTGGAGATATTGATAAAAAAACAGCTCACGAAAATAGCTATATTTACAATTAATAAAAAGCAAAACCCCATAGAGCATTTTCTATTTTTTTATTTAATGAAAAAAATGAGTTATTATTACATAAAAGAAGTAAAATTAAAATAACTTTTCCAAATTATTGGACAAATACATGTTGTTCGCATCCATTAAATATAGATCTTCATAAGCACAATTAGTAAGGTATATTTACATTAGATATACATAATAATTTATTTTATTTAATATATATATATATATAGGATCTAAAATAGCTGCAGCTGATAGATTTTAATTTGAACTTAATCATAAAATAGATGCAAAAGATTTAATATTGATTGACAAATTAATATATTAAAGCAAATATGATTAAACCTGGGGAGAATATGAACGTAATTTATATAAAAATAAATAATTTATTCTAATATTAAATAAAATATTAAATATCAATTTTTATATTTATATAAATTTATTTTATAGTTGACTATGTATTATTTACAAAACAAAATATCTTAAACAATAAAATAAATCCAAATTAAGAAGAAATTGATGAAATAGAATGGGTAAATAAAAACGATTTGTTAAATTTTTTAAAAACTAAATAAGAAAAGGTAATTATATAATATTTTTATAAATATATTACTTAAATATATATAAAAAAGGGAGAAAAAACTACTCCTTGGTTTCATAAGATAATAAATTATAAATTGTTTGACTGGTGGAATTAACTGGAAAATAACTCTATTAAGGAAAAAAAATTTAATAAAGAAGAAAATTAAAATATAATAGAACTTTGAAATTTTTAATTAAAATAAAAAAAATTAAATAAATATTTGTATAAAAATATTGTTAAACATTAAAATATTTATATATTGTAAATTTTAAATTTAGATATTTTAATATTTTATACATCATATTAAATATTTGTTTCATAAAAAAATTTTAAAAAATTATATCTATAAATAAAATTATAATACTAATATATATAAATAAATTGAAATAAATAATAAAATAAAAAATAGATATTAAAAGCAATAAAAATTATATTATAAATAAAATATATAAAAATATATTTATACTTTAAATAATATTTTTTTATATAAATAAATATATAGATATTATATATATATATATATATATATTTATTTATATATTTTTATATTTTTATTTTTATATCAATTGTTTATTTTATTTTATTTTTTAAATCAGATTTATATTGAATATAATAAAACTTTAATAAATATCATATATTTTTCAATACTCATAATAAATATTTTTTTCATTTTTTTTTATCTTTATTTAATGTTTAAACTAATATTTATATTTTTTTAAATCTAAATATTTAAAATTAATTATAAGATACATATAAAATTAATTATATATATTTTTTTTTTATATATAAAAGTATTTTATTTTTTAATTTTTAGGGCTTTTATTATACAGTATTATAAAACATAATAATTATGTTTTAGGGATATTTTTTATATATATTTATTTAACTATAAAGTTGGTATTTCTCAATTAATAAAATTCTTTTATGTTTATTCAAAATATATAAATAAAAATAGGAAATATTTTTTCTTCAATTTTCTCAATTAATAATTATTTATTATCAAAATTATTGATTTTTATTTTTTATTAATTTATCCCTAATAAAAAAAAACTCCTGATATACACTTGAATCAATATTATAACTTCTAAACTAAATTTATATATTAAATACTACATAAATAACATATAATTTTGTATAGATTCTTTTTATTTAATAAGAATTATACTTTGTTTAAATATAGGTTTAACCTTCTATATTTATCATCTTGTCTTTTTAAAAACTGCGACGAATAATTATTTTTTTATTGGTTAATAATAATATTAAATGATATTTTACAATAATTAATGTTTAAAATAATAACTAAACTTTTCTATATAATGATTATTTAAATAATATTTGGATTTTCAAAGAAGGTTAATCTAAATATATAAAATAAATGAATTGAAAAATTTAAAATTTCTTGGCATATTATTGCCTTCATATATATATAATTTTTAAGTTTCAATAAAAATAAATGGATTTTTAAAATAAATAAACAATACTAAAATATATATATAGCTTTATTTTATAGTTATATATATAGACAAAGTAAAAAGTAATATAATAAAATTTTAATATATTAAAAGTAAATTTATTTTTAGTTATTCATATTAAATTATATTAGTATTTTAAAATCATTATACTTTCAGTTTATCATATTAAATTATACTAGTATTTTAAAATTATTATACTTACGACTATAATTAAAATTAAAATCGTTAAAAATGTAATTAATATATATTTTTTTCCTTTTTTATTTGTTTAATTTAATAATGTTTTATCACTTTGATGAATAAGGATTTTTTTGCCTGTATTATGTTAAGTTTCTATTTCATTTGAATACGAATTACCATTATTTTTTTCTTCTATTAAACTCAGTTTCTATTTTTCAAAATATTCCTATTCATCAATATCACGAACTAATAATTTCAAATTAAATATTTTTTTTTTAATAAATTAAGCTTTTAGTATCGTTCATTCCAAATAATTAAATTTATGTCTTTCATTAAAAAATAAATAAATTACTTTTAAAAAAATAAATTAATTCTACTTTTTTATTAACTTTATATAGTTTGATTTTTCGTTTTCTTTTATAGTTTTTAATCTTCTTTATAATTTTCATTATTTTTTTATTTATTATTTATGTTTTCTTTTTAAGTATAAATATAATTAAAGAATTTTTATTATTCTTTATTATTATTCTTTTTTGAATATTAATTATCAATATTTTTAGATTTTAAAGGTGAATTTGTGTTATTTTCATTTTATATATTAGTTTTATTTAAATTAATAAATTATTGCTTTATTAATTTATACTGAATTTTTTATAATGTTTCGATTTACTTTGTTTTTTATATTATTTAAAATATATATTCATTTTATTTTTTATGATTAATCCAATTATTATATTTTTTTTTTACCTAAATAAAGAAAGCTTTTAACTTAATTATTTTTATTTAATTCCAAGAATTTTTTTTTTTATAGAATTAATTAATATATCATAGAGATTAGAGCATTAATCAATATTCTAATCAAAAATCTAAATTATAAAATTAATTTTAAAATTTATTGTTTTTTTATACGATTTCAAAATTATCAATCAACTAATTTTTGTTGTTAACAAAAATTTCTTTTTTAATAATAAAAAAAATATAATAGTAAATATTAATCTTAAATTTTAATTAAGTTTAAATATAGTTTTACCATAATAATTGGATATTAAGTTTGTGTTAATACTTATTTCATATAATGTATTTTAAATATTTTCAAAATTAATTTTTTAATTCTTTGTATTTTGCATAAAATTTTAAATATATAAATTGTTATTTAAAATATAAAAATTTAACAACCTTTTTTTAATTGTAATGTATTTATACAATGAAAAATAATGTTCAATTATAAAATTATTAATAAAATATAAGATATGGAATTGTGTTTAAGAAACAAAAAAATTTTATCGTAGATAATTTTATTGATTTTATAAATAAAAAAATGTATTTAAATTAAAATAATATTTATATATATATTTTCATTTTATTTTTTTATAAAAGTTTTTTATATACAAAAAATATTTTAAACTTATTCTAATATTTGATTTGTTCTTTATAAATCCAAAAAAATAAATATATATAAATTAATAAAATTAAAACAATATCATTTAAATATAAAACTATTATTAATTATTTATTTATATAAATAATTTTATTTTAGTCTTCATATAAAAATAAATGTCAATCATACTTCGAAATTCGAAAAGTTATCATAATCAATTTTATCTTCCTTTTATAAAAATATTTTATTTTTATAATAAATAATAAAAAAGTATACCTAAAATCCTTCAGAAATATCAATTTTATGACTATTGCTATTTTAAATATCATCATCGAAGTCATAAAATTCTTTGTTATAACTATTTTTTTAAACAAAAAATTAAAATATTTAAAAATATAATATTTTAACTTTTATAGTTCATTATCGTTATTTTTATCCTAATTTATTTATTATTATTGTAAATCATTTTTTCGATGTTTATCTATTTTTTATGATTATTGTAATTAAATTTTATTTTCCTATTATTAATTCATATTATCATTTAATTATTAATTATTTTATTTCGATTCTTCTTGTATATTTAAGATTTAATTTTATATAATTTATTCTTATTAATTTTTATTTTAATTTTTTTATTGTATTTAATAAGGTTCTACTTATTTTTATTAATTAAATTCTTATTATTCTTATATTTTCTATCTATATAATTATTATTCGTTATTTTTTTGAAATTCATTTTGTTTTTTGAGTTTTTCTTCTTCTTATATTTATTAATTTTTAATTATTAGTTCATCTTATTTTTATTTAAATAGTTTTTCTTCTTATTTCTATTTTTTTATTTATATTTTTTCTTGTTCTTCTTATGTATTTGCTTAAATTAATAACTCTTTCATTTTTTAAATTTTTTCGTTTTTCTATTCTTCTTCTTATTCTTACCTTTTTTTTAAGATTAATTACTCTTATTCATATTATTTTTTTAAGTCTTTTTCTTTTATTCTTTTTTCAACCTCTTCTCTTTTTTTTTCTATTCATCTTATTCTTCCTATTACTTTCTTTTAATTTCTTATAATTTTTTCTTATTTTCTTCAACTTTCTTTTTTTAATCTTCCGCTTTTTTTTTTAAGTTTCTTCTTATTTTTTCCTTTGTTCTTCTATTTATCTAACTTCTTCTTTTATTTTTTTTATTCTTATTCTTTCTTTTTCTATAGTTCATTTTTTTTAATTTAATCATCTTACTTTTTAAGTTCATCCTACTTTTTAATTTCTTCGCATCTTTTTTATTAAAATTCTTATTATTTTTTGACTTCAACATCATTTTTTTTAACCTTATATTACTTTAATTATTCTTGTTAAATCCTATAATTTTCCTATTTTCTTAAAATATCATCTTAGAATTGCTTTTTATCAACATAATTTTCTTTTTTATTTAATTATGATTAATATTCTTCTTCTTCCTCAATAGAATAAAAGTTATTTTCTCTAATATTTTCATTTTAATTAATTAAATTTTTTAATATAACTTTTTAATTTTCCTTCATATTATATTATTACAAATGTTTATAATTTTTCATTTTTTAAAAATTATTATTATTTTCAAATTTTTTAATATTTAATTCTTTTAAATAGTTATCCTAACCTATTTCCTATATTATATTTTGTAATCTTATAGTTTCTTCAAAATAAGCAATTTTTTCTGTCTATATTTTTAAACAAAATAAAAAATAAATTTTAAATATTTTTCTTAATTTTTTATAACTTCCAATTCTTTATATCTTGTATGTTTTATACTTTTTTTCATCATTTCTATTTATTGGTTTTTATATTTAAGTTATTATTAAAGATCTTTTATTTGTTTCTTTAGATTATTTACTTAAAAGTAATTCTTTATTTAAGGAAAAAATATAAAATAAAAATATTATAAAATATAAACTTCTAAATTAGGGATTTGCTTTTAATTAGATTATCTATTAAAGTTATATAATTCTTCAATTATTCTTTCTTAATTTTATATTTATTTTTGCATTACTATTTGCTAAGTCTTAATATTAGAGTTTGTAGATTTTAAATTATTTATTTCGTCTTTTGCATTCATTAATTATTCAAATATTTTCTCCTATTATAACCATTATTTTAAAATAAAATTTAAAAATCATATTACTTTATCAATCTCTTGATAAGCTATTTTGAATATATCAGCATCCTATAAAGGTTTTTTTCTATTTTATTAAAAATTTAATAAGCGAAAATAATTTTATTTCCATATATATTACTGATGACCATTTTTATATGCTGATTAAACAGAAAAATTCATATTTTAATTACTCATTTAAGACTCTTTTTATACATAAAAATTATTATGTATAAGATATCTTTTATCACTAAATTTAATTTAACGATTAAATTAAATAAATAATTTTAAAGGTTAAAAATTACACAAGAAAGTTTTTCTTTTAATGTTTTTAAATAAAATTTAAATTATCATACATAATTTAGTTTAGCTTTAGCTTTATCTTTAATTTTATTTTTTTCGAATAATGATTTTTTTTGTTTAAATTAAATTAATAAATTAAGTTAATTTTAAATGATTAATTAAGTATTTATAAAAAATAAATAAAGATAAGAATATTATTTAATTTTTTCTGAATTAAAACACACATATAAAATTATCAAAATATATTATTTTTATTTTTATCATATTTAATATATAAATTGTTTAAATATATATATATTAAAATTATTTAATAATTAATATTTTATATATAATATTGTAAAATTTACAGTTTCTATTAATATATAAGAAATTAAAAAAAATACAGTATATATATTAAATAATAAAAATTAAAAAAATATATATCTTTTTAATTATTTTGTTTTTTAACCAAAAAAAATATCTAAAATTTAATCAATTTAAAAAATGAATTAAAAAATAAATTAAATAAAGGCATAAAATTATTAAAAACCATAACCGAGCAAGATTTATTAAATTAATCAATGAATTTCATTCGTTTTTTTGCAAAAAATAAAAACACATAAGATTACAATGACCATAAAGTTTATTTTCTATAAGAATTGGTTAACAGAGTTAAGAAATTGCACTAACTAAAATCCATTAATTTAAAAAGATTCTACACTGAAGAAGCAAATGTGATAAAAGTTATCCGTTATTTTCTTATAGATTCCCGTTAATTATTAAGATAAAATGCAATAATGTTTTTTTGCTTTATTTTTGAAAGTGAAAGGATATCTTATTAATATATCTAATTTAGTATTCCATTGTTTATTTCAAGATCTTTAGAAAAAGATATCCGTTCAGAAACAAGGGCATAATAAAATTATTAGGAAATTATGGCGGCATTAGAATTTATAAAAAAATGGATAGAAGTCTCTCCTAAAACATTTCCTAAATCTTTAGCTAATTCTCTTATTTCATTTGCTGAAATTCCAAATATAATAACTACTCTTTAGGATTTTGCAATGGAAATAATAGTTAAATTAGCAGTCGAAAATACGTAGATTTGTGCATGGAGTGGAGGAATAAAATTTCTTATCGAAAATGCAATAAATCCTTAATTTATTTCTCATCTAGATTCTATTATACATACTCTTTTATATTTATTAAATAATCCTAAGCATAGAAAAATATTAAAATATTATCTTGATATTCCAAAATTTTTTGGAGTATTTACTGATATTTATGTGCCTTTTCATTAATAACCGAAAACAATTACAACAGAAATATATAAAAAAAATATAGAAATTTAAGAAAAAAAAATATTTATGGCAAAAAAAATAATTGTTTCGATACTAAAAACATGGAAAGGTTTAATATATTTAGGTATAAAATAAAAAATATTAAATATGATTTAAAAATATATATATATAAATATATATAAAAATATAAATATAAATATAAATAATAAAATAATAAATATATAAATAATATATATAAATATATATATATATATATATATATAATATATATAATATTATTTATTTATATATATATATATTTAGGTTATTAAAAATTTTTATTAAGATCATTATTTTAAACATTAAGATAACCAATTTTTGAATAAGTAAGAACAGGAATATAAGAAATAATTGGAGAATTATTATCTTTTGGTTCTACATTATAATAATAAGTTACTAGCTTTTCATGTTAAAATTTACTTAATTAATATTTGATGGTTTTAACTTAATTATTTTTAGATTGTGATTTATTTGCTGTGCTAATTGAATTATCTGTTTTAGACGATACACTTAAATAATTAAGATCTTAAGAATAATTAAAATAATTATCATTTTTAATGTACAATTTAATTCCTAATTGTTCTAAATATACAGATTTTTTACTTTCTTCAGTCCATAATGATTATTCTTTCATAGATTTAAAAGGAAAATGTTCAAGTATTGTAAATTGTATGAGTAATTATGTTTTTGATACAAAAATGTAAACTAATAGCCATTCCTAATTAATTTATTAATGTGAGAATTTTTTTCATTTTACATAATTAGGATTACCATCTCATCGTATAAATAATACTTAATATATATTTTAGGAAGGTAAAGTATTAGGAAATGTTGAATAAAATAAAGAATTTCTTTAACTTTTGGAAAAATCTTATATTCATAAAGAAAATGTTAAATGGAACTGGACAATTATATATGAAATAATTAAAAAATATTTTTCTTTGAAATGGTAGGAATTAAAAGGCAAATTTGTTAAAAAATTAATCCTTTATTTTCATCCGAATCAATAATATTTTATTTCTCTTGAATGGAAGTAATAAAATTTTATTTAGGCTAAAGTGGGATATGCTTTAATATATAATTTACTTAAAATACCAGATGGTAAAAAAAATGTATTAAAAAAAATATTAATTTAATTTTTTTTTTTTATTTTTTTATTTTTTTTATTTTTTTTTTATAAAAAAAAGGCGCTTTAATGCTTTCAGTGCCATAAACAGATACTATTTGTATAAACAGAAGTTTTATGGGCGAACTTTATCATATTTTAGCTATTGATAACGATCAAAATGTAATTCACTAAGCTCATCATTTATTATAACCTTAAGAATATTCCACAAAAATGATAAGAGAATATATTAGTTGGATAGGGTTGTTTGCCTCTTTTAAATATGGTTAAAAGCTTTTAAAAGATGCTAAAATATGGGAAACTCTAGAACTCTATGTTAAATATTAATAAAAAGATCATATTCTTATTCATATTTTATTTTGCTTAGATTATGGAAAATAAGGGCCATCAAGATCATTTCTTTATTTTTGTCTATAAAACGGATCTGAAAATTTATAAAAGGCTAGTTTAGAGCTATTAAGATTATTATATAGAAGCGAGTTTGTAGGTATGTTTATATTTGTTTATAAATATTAACTTTTATAACTTACTTTTAAAAAATATATAAAGATTTCTTTTAATATGGAATAGAAATTCTTATTTAAAAAATGGATTCACCCACAAGAGAATTAAGGGAAAAAGCATTGAGTGTAATTTATGAAGTTATAAAAGATACCGATTAAATGAAATAATTTTTGAATTTAAATCCAAATTTAACTGATTTATGTGAAAACGATAACCCTTTGCTTTATATAATAATGAAAACAAGTTAAGGCTTTAATTATTTACAAGAAAAATACAATTGGATTGAGAAAATGGTTTATAAATGGGAATCTAAATTAAATGAAGAATATGCTGAAAAGCTAGAAAAATGCCTCATTAATTAATTAAATTTTAACTAATAAAACTAAGATTTAAATTCTTTTATTTTTCCTAATATGTTTAATAATAGCTAATCTTAATTTTTCGCTTTTGGATTTATTCATAGAATTCCTTGGATTTTGAATATTTTAATAGTATGTGAAGAGTTTTAATAAAAAAATTAATATTAAATATATATAGGCTATAAAGGAGATTAAAATGTTTAATATATTGTTTTAACAGGATATCCACTATATAATTAGAATTAATAATATATTAGATTTAATTAAAACTTCACCGTTTCATTAAATTTATAAATTGGAAAAGTAATTTTTTTTATATTATTTTTTTTTTTTGTTTAAAAAAAATATAAAAAAGCATTTTATTGATAAGAATTGTAAAGAACAATAAAATATGTATTAAATTTAAATAAAATGCGAAAATATAGACAATAAATTTTTTTATTTAAATAAATATGAATAATATGTGATAAAAAAAAATGGAATATCTCTAATTTTTGAATTAAATTAATAGAATAAAACAATTAGACTTTCCAAAATTAAAATCTATATGAAAATGTGTAATAGAACTCATTTAAATTAAAATATTCCGACTCATTTATATAGTGAATTAGTTAAATCAGAATAAGGAAGAAGACTTTTGACCAACAATAAAATAATCAATAAATGTATTAATATTATTTAAGATAATGATTCTAATATTTTATCAAAAAGAGCTGCTTTATGGTCTATTGGAAACATTGGATATCATAAATAAGGCTCTGAAATGATTATTTAGGATAATATTAATATAATTTAATATTTAGTTAATTTAGCATAATAAAGTGAAGTATTATCTTTGAGAGGAACTTGTTTATATATACTCAATATGCTTTCAAATACAGAATTAGGAAGAAAACATATTTTAAGTAATAATTGGTAATGCAATTGGAATAATAATACAGGTATATTATTTTATATTTTTTTTAATAAATATATAAAAAAGGATGGGTTGTTATTCCTGGTGATATTTATAAATTTTTTTATATCAATGATTTTGATGTTAGAGAAAAAAAAAATTATTGGCCGAACTAAAATTAATATTGGGAAAGATATATTAACTTTTAAAAAAGTATTCATTTAAATGAAGAAAGTGTTTAATTATTAAATTGCTTTTCGAAACTTAGTAATAGCTTAAAAAGTTAAGAAGCCGTAGAAGAAATAAAGTAAAAAAAAAAATTAAATCCGGCAATATTTTCAGATAAAAATGTATTTTATAGTATTTTATTTATGTTGGATTATTATAAATATAAACATGAAAATAGAAAATTTATTCTAAATTTATTTGATAATATTATGTCTTCAGATGATATTTTTATTATTTTAGATAGTAATCCTTATTTAACTTAATATTTTTAATGAAATTTTAATAAGTTAAATATTTTATTTATGTGTATAAAATAAATATGAGAAATATTAAATATTAAACAATAAATATATGTTTCTTTATAAAATAACAAAAATAAATAAATATACAAAAAGTTAATTATTTATAAATTATATAAAAATTATTTTTCTTAATTATATATAAATATTTAATTAAATTGTTATTTTTTAAAATAATGTTTTAATTTCATTTAATTACAATTAAAAAAAAAAATGATAAATATATAAAATTAATAGTATTTATATAAAAAAATATATAATATAAATAATATTAATTTATAATAAATTAAATTATCTATATAAAAATAAATTAATTTTTTTTTTTTATATAGTAAAAAACGCAAACTTCTAATTTATATTTTTTATTTTTGTTTTTAATTGAAAAATTTATAAAGACAGCTTTTTGATTGGATTATTAAAAATAGAAATGGATTTTAAATATATATATCAAAAGTAAATTTCAAATATATAATATTTACAAATTTTTTTTTATAACTATTTTTATTATAAGCAAATAATTAAAAAAAAAATTATAAAATAAATATGATTGATTTATAGCAGAATACTTTTTATATAGAAAAAATTTAAAATTTTAATCTAATTTAAAGAATGAAAACGAAGAAATATTATTAAATCCTTTTTGTATATTTTTTTTTTTAAAAAAAATAAATAAATAAATAAATTAAATATTATAATTAATAAAATTTATATAATAAAATATTTGTTATATATTTAATATTATAAATTATTTTTAAAGATATTGAAAGAAAAAATATAATGCAAGAGGAAATTAAAGCAAAAGATTGCGCCCATGGGTTAGATAAACCAGTATTACCAAGATAAGCAAAATAATTTGTCGGATTAAAAAATAAAGGATCTACATGCTATCTAAATTCTTTATTTTAAGCTTATTATACAACTCCAGAGTTCAGATAATCTATATTTAATATGAAATTATGTGTAATGATTAAAAATATATTCATTTTTTTTTTAATCATTTACCTTAAATAATTTTAAAATATCAACTATTTATTTATTTACAATTCATACATTAATTAAATAATTTTATAAAAAAATAAAGGTCGATAGTTAAGAAAAAAGAAGCAATTTTGTTGATAATATAAACAAACATAATTTTTTATTAGCTTTTTAAAAACTTTTTATAGAAATGCAAGAATTAAATGTTTCCCACATAAGGTTTTTTTTTTTTTTTTTATTAAAAAAATAAATAAAAATAAAATATTTTTTTTTTTTTAATTTTTTATATATATTTACAATCAAAAAGCACTGAAGAAGTTCTTAAAAGCTTTGGTTGGGACAATAATGAAGCATTTTAATAATAAGATATTTAAGAAGCTATAAGGTTTTTATTAATATTTTTATAAATATTAACCATATATTTATTTAATTATAAAAATTAATATTAAATATTTTTTTTTTAAATTTGTAAATATATTTATTTTTAAATTTTATAATTACATATATATATTTATTATATATATTGTTCCTAATTTTTAATTATTTTCTAAAAAGAGTTATTTTTAATGGTTTAGAAATTGCATTGAAAGGAACTCAATTGTAAGATTAATTGTTAGATAATTTTAAGTAAAATAATAGTTTAAACATCTTTTTATTAAATATATTTTCAGAATTCTTACTGTTGATTAAATATAATGTTTAAAATGTAAATCTATAAAAGAAATGTCTCATATATAATATGATTTAATGGCCTAAGTATATAATTAAAAAAAAAAAATACTATTCCAATAACAACAAAAAAAGATTAAAGGATAAGATTGTTTAGAAGAAAGTTTAATAAATTTATAAAATCATGAAAAACTCACAAATGAAAATTAATATTTTTGTAATTAATGCGATTCTAAAGTATTTTAACAAAAAAAAAAATCACTTGAAATAATTAAATAAAAAAATTAAAAGTAAGATGCTTTAAAAGGAACTGAAATTCGCAAATTACCAAACATATTAACTATTTCTTTAATGAGATTTGAATTCGATATGGTAAAATAATAAAGAAATAAATTAAATGATAGATTTTCATTTGGTTTGGAATTAGATGCCTCATTATTTTGTGATTAGTTTAATCCAAATGATGAGAATCATATTTATGAACTTTATGCTGTTCTTATACATAAAGGGGGTGCTTATGGTGGTAAAAAAAGCTTTGAATTATTTTTATATAGACTTTAATTTTAATATAGGCCATTATCATGCATATGTAAGAGATCTTTTGTCAAATAATGAAAATAATAATCGTCCAAATAATGGTTATGAACTGCTATAAAATGAAGGTGCTTAAAAGAATAGCTAAATAGAAGAAGAAAAAGTAGAATAAAATTCTTAATAACAATAAGAGAAAAAAAACAAAAAAGAATCAAAATAAGCTAAAAGAAATACAAGAATAGCAGGAAAGCAAGAATATTAAGAAGATGATAGTTTTTCTAAATAAATATTGCAAATTAAAGTTTGCTTAATAATTGGTATGATATTGATGATAAAGTGATTTCTAAAATTAATGTGGGGCAAATTTAAAAATAATTTGGAGGGAATTCAGATAAGGAAAGTGCTTATATATTACTATATAGGAAATAAAATTTACCTATTTAGGAATTAAAAATACCTTTTTATTTTGAAAGTTATATTTAAAATATGAATGATTAATTAAAATAGTAAAGAATTAATTATGATAAATAAAAAAATTGTATTGAAATCTTATATCGAAATTATGATAATTTAGATTTTAATACATTCAAATTTAAACCAAAGTCCGAAAATACATAAAAGTGTATAATTTCGAAAGATTTTAGATTAAAAGATTTATATGATTCTTTAAATATAAATGAAGATTTTTCTATTTTTGAAGTTTGTTATTGCGATAATGATTTAATATAAATTTATCAAGAATTAGAATATTCTATAATTAAAAAAGTAAATGAATTGGATATTGAACATACTTCAGAATTTTTAATTATAAACAAAATTTAAAATGAAGAAGATTATTAAAAATTACTTAGATATTGTGGTAAAGAAAACTCACCTTTTATGCTTAAAGTTTTAAATATTATATTTAAAAAAAAAAAAATTAATAATTATTAATTATTAGATACAAAAAATAGGAGAATAATAAATAGAATTTGCTTTTCATTCATAAAGTAAACTTAAAGACCTAAGAAAATATTTAGAAATTTTATTTAATGTTCCTTATAATAAATAATATATAAAATTAATAAATAATGGGTCATCTTAATAATTAAACAAAAATCCTGAAAATGAAGAAAAATAAATTTCTATATTAGGAATAAATGAATATACACTAATATAATTAAGTGAATTAGAAGAAGTAAAAAAAACGCATTTAATAAATAATATAAATTAAAATTTTAATTAATATATTTATATTAATTAAAAAAAAAAATATTTCTAAGGTTGTTTCTGATGGCTAAAATAATTAAAATTAAATAATTTTAGAAACATAAAATGAACTTCCAAAAAGATACTGTAAACACAATTAAAATTGATATTATTTAAAATTAAAATATTTTTTAAGTTGTAAATAGTTTGGATACATTATAATAAATATTAAACAATTTTAAAAAATGCTTATGTTTAGATCCATAATAAAGTTGGAGGCTCAAAGAGTTATAATATAATAAAATTAAAATATATATTTATATATATTTATATATATATATATATATATATATATATATATATTTATTAATACAAAAATAGTTTAGAAAACGATAAAGTTTTTTCTTTAGAAGATTATAGAGAATAAATAAAAGATATAGTATAATAACACTAGGAATTAAGATTTAGTATAGAAGAAGGTTTAATTCCTAAAAAGGATTAATAAATAATTAAATTTAGATATTTTAGTGAGGTTAAAAAAGATAATATATATACAGAAGTAATTGTTAATAACAATACTACAGTAAAAGAAGCGTAACTAAATTAAAATATTAAATAAATAATTTAAATAATTCTTTTTTTAAAAAAGAAAACATTAGGCTTGTGATTAGCTTGGCTTTTGCCCCTAAGAATACTCTGTTTATAAAGTTGATGAAAATGATTAACCATTTAATTGCATCAAAAGGGAATAATAATTATTAAATGCTAATAATTTAAAAAAATGCACTTTATATTAATTAGTATCTTTTAAAAATTCAATCGATTTAAAAGAAAGTTAATTTGCAGTTTATTTAATACCATAAAATGACGGAGAAAAACAAGTTTATATTTCTACTATAATCATAAATAAAAATGCTTCAGTTGATGAATTAAAACAAACTATTATGTAATAAGAAACATTTCAAGACATCGCTTTACAATATGAAACTTTAACCTTAGATAATATAAGAGTGAGAGAAATGAGAAAAAATCATTAGTTGGGTAGTATACTTAAAAAAACTGATAAGAAAATTGGGAAGTTATTAAGTAATGCTGTTTAAGTTTTAGCTGTTTAGGTAAATTTTATATTTATTTTTTTAAATATGAATTGTTAAAAAGATTATGTAAAACGCAGAAGAGTTATTTGAGAATGATTTAGTTTTTAATATTTAGAAAAGAATAGTTGATTAGAGAATATATACTATAGAAAAAGAATTTGTTTTTAGGGGAGGACAAAATCAATTTATAACAATTAATGAATTAAAAAGATAAATTATTAGAAATTAATAATTAAAAGTATCAGAAGATGAAATAGATATTGCCAAATATTTTGTTAATAATTTAGAATGGAAAGAAATGAATTTATAAACTATTTAAAAGTGCAGAGAAAATTAATAAAAGTAAAATAAATAAAAAAATTAAGCTAAAAGAAAAAAAAATAATGAAAACGCTAATAAATCAAAAAACTAATAAGCTTTGGTAGAAAATTAAACATAGTAATTATTATAATAAGATCAATAAGAATAAATTTAATAAATATCTACACAACTATAAAATATGAATTCACAATAAAATTAATAAGGTTATATATTAAATATATAATTAACATTTAGTTATTTAAAAAAATAGATGCATTTGAAGATTTGAGAAAAATGCCTTATTTGTTAAAAGATGGAGGTTATTTTTTATTTTATTTTAAAAAAAAGGAAATCGGTTATATATTTATAATATATTTTATAGATTTAATTAGTTTCAGGCTTAAATCAGAAAATATTGATTTAAAGGATGATTTTTAAACAGACGAAGATTTAGTAAAATAAAAAAAATAAAAGAATATTAAATAAATAAAAAAAGAAACTAAGATTATTGAAATAAAATAAATATAAAGATGATATTACTAATAATAACATTTATGACGAGAAAGGATTTGTAATACATTTAGATTTTGAAAATTAAAATGAGGAAGATAATATGGACGAAGAAAACATTATATGAAAAAAATAAATGAAAAATATAAATATGAAAATAAAATCAAAATTAAATTTAAAAGCCAAAATTAAAAATATAGTATAATAATATTAAATAAATTATATAAAAGAAAAAAATAAAAAAATTACAACTCAAAAAATAATCAATAATATATTTTTCTTAGTTTAAATGAATAATTTCAAAACATTTTATTACTAAATAGATAATTAATCTAAATTTTAAATGTTAATTTATTTAATTGATATTAATTTAATTTCAGGTCATTTTCAAGTTTAATTCAATAAATCATAATATTTAAGAGTGAAATAAAAAATACTTATAACTTAAGTTTTATAAAAGAGAAAATAAAATTATAAAAATAAATGATATTTTCTACTTTTTAATAGTATGTATATAATGAAAATTAATAATAATTATTTATATATTATATATTTATTTTAGTTTTACCAAATTCTTTCTTAACAAATAAATACTTCAATTATTAGCATATCCATTATTCTTTTATATTCTAAATATTAAAAATTAGTTATTTAAAAATTAAATAAATAATACTAATAATTTAAAAACTAATAATAAATATTAATTATCATCATTTGTGATTGAAAAATTATTAGTTACTACTATAAAATAAATTCTTATTTATATTTCTAAATATTTATTTATTAATAAATATAAAATACAAAATTATAAAATTTCTAATGGGTATCGGATGTATAAAAAAATAGTAAAGAATATCATAATAAGGAATTTAAAATGACTTATTAGACAAATAACCTTCAAAATTAATAAAAAATAGAAATTACTGCGAATAATTAAATGATTTAGACTTTGCATAAAATTTCAAACAAAGCGAAGATTCTTAGTGGTTATCTTAATCCAATATACAATATAATACATAAGGACAATAAAATTTATAAAATGTTTCAAATAATATAATTAGCGAGTAATTTATAGCTTCTTAAAATGCAATACAGTTTCCATCTATGAATTAATATGAAGCTCCAAATAATGCTTAGAATTCTAAAAAATTAAGATAAAAAACGACTAGAATATAAAAGTTAAGTGGGAAAATAGAAACAAAAAAAGCTAAGGTAGTCCTTCTTTTATTTAACTTTAAAGAGAAAATTTGTTATTTTCAAACAAAAAAAATTAATAAAAGGGAAAACCTTTAAATTTATTTGATGAATTTGTTAATATAACTAGTTTATAAATTAAAGAAAAAGCTGCACAAATAAATATTGTAAATTATATTAATATATATAAAATTGAATTAAAAAATAATGTGTAAAGAGTTAAAAATTTTATTATATAAAATTTTAATTTATTTATTTAGGGTAAATAATATATTGCAAATTATTTACATTGAAAAAAAAATAATATTTATTTGATCTATTCTTTTTTTTTATAATGTTTATGTTATAAATTTTATTTTTTATTTATCTTTAATTATATATTTTTGAGCATATTTTTCTTTTTTTTTTTAGTAAGATGATTTCGAACTAAATGAATTGAATAAAAATTTGATAAATAATTTACAAAATTAATAAAATGATATAAAAAAATAGCAAAAGTCTATAGAACAAGAATAAGTAGTATAACTTTAAGAAAGAAATTAAAATTATTTTGTTAGAGGAAATGTTATTTTATCTATATAAAAAGACGATCCATATAAAAAAAAGAAAAAATTAAATTAGGAATAAGACAATCTATTAGAGTAAATTTTAGAATTAGGAATACAACCAACATAGTATATTATTGATAATAATTTAAAATAAATAACCGAAGAAATAGAGTATCAATAATAAAGATTTGAAGGTATTCCTAATAATAAGAAAAGTGGAAATAATTAATATAACTAAAGAAATAATATTTAAATTAAAATTTATCCAGGATATGATGAAATATTTAAAAAAAATGTAAAATGAAGCTAAAGGAATAATTAAAAAAAAAAAAAAAAAAAATTTAAAATATAGAAAAATATTATTCATTATATATAAAATAATTAAATTTTAATATATGAATTGAAATTATTTTAATGTTTATATTTAGAAGATTTTAAATATATATACAAGTTTGTATTAAAAAGGATTTAAAATTTATATACAAATAAATAAAGCTTTTGTGATTTTTTCTATTATATATTTACTAAATTTTTGTTATTGCTGTATTTTAATTAATTAGTTCATATAATTTTTATTTTAAAATAAATTATTATTTTATTAGTATTCTACGAATTAAACTTATAAAATAACTTAATATACTCTAAAAATATTTATTTAATTAGAATAAATAAGTAAATATTTTTATAATTTAATAAAAATTATTATTACTAAATTTTATAATAATATTTACTTGGTAATTTTTTATCACTTATGTTTATTTATAATATTTATTAATATTAAAATATTTATTTTTTAATTTATATTTTTTTCTTTAAATTTCTAGAATTCTTATATTTTTAAAGAAATTTACATTCTTAATAAAAATTCAATATAAACACAAAATATTTTTTTTAAAAAATAGCAATATTATATAATTATATATTTATATATATATATATTTATGTATATTCTTTTTTTTTATCCAAAATTTATTTAATATTTTTTACAGAATTTGAAAAAAAAAAAAAAAAGAATATATTTATAAAAATTAATTATAAACAAAGAAATTTCTAAATCTAATAATAGAAAAAAATAGAAAATTAGAAAATTCTTCAACCAATCAAATAAATAGATTTTTAGAAATTCCTTTAAAAATATAATAAAATTTATATAAAAAAAATAAAAAAAATAGAGAGGAATAGCAAAATTAAACAATACTTACTTAAGAAACAATATTTTCCCATAAAAAATATGTTAATAATTCAGATAAAACAGATGGAATGATTTTGATAGTGTATTTAATTTCCCTTCAATATCACATAATAGATTAATTGATAATTTTTTTGAAAACGATTCCTTCTTTAATAAGCATCATGATAATTTTATTGACAGTGTTTTTAATAATTATCCTTATTAATATTCTGAGGAATCTATTTTGTAAAGAAAATTGAAAAAACTTGATTTATATGAATCTTAGTTAGATAGATATATAAAAGAATATGAAGATTCTATTGAATATTGTAAATAATAAAAGACTTAAGTATAAAAATAAAAAGAGACTTTAAATAAAGAATTAGAAATTAAAAAATAAAATGCTACTAATAATAATAATAATGATAAATAAAATCAAATTTACAGAAAAAGCTATTACAAGACACCCGATGTAGAAATAGAGGAATAATATGATAGTTCTGACCCTAAAAACTGCTATAAAGTAATTAAAAAAAGTGGAGAAAATCCAAAAATATAACATAGTTTTGAAAAATTAGGAGATGGTCTAGACGAAAAGTATCAAACGCTTGTAAGAATGTCAGGAAAGTAGTCTCAAGAATTAGTTGATTTAGTAAAAAATAATAAAAATTTGACAGTTGGATAACTATATGACAAAGCTATTTAAGAAAAATTATTTTGATTTTTTAATTAGACATTATATAGATATTATTATTATTTTTTTTAATAAATATTATATGTTTTTAATTAATTGTATTGTTTTTAAATTATAAATGTATAATAGATTTATAAAATATTTTTTTTTAAGATACATTAAAAAAATAGTAAATTATTGGAATAAATAAAAAAAATATTGATTTTTTTTTAATATATATTTAATTTATTTTTTTATTTAAAATTGAATGCATTTTAATTTTTATTATTTTATAAAAAAAACTAATATTTTTTTCTTTTAATTTTTATCAAATATTTTATAGTAATATTTTTAATTCTCCTTCATGTATACTATTTTATATTTATTAAAAAAATAAAAATAAAAAAAAAAAAAATACTCAGATAATTTTTAAATACGAGCTTATGCTTTTGCTCTTTCCATTCCAAAGATTTTTTCAGTTTTTTCCTTTTATTAAGAATCTTAAATAGATTAATAAATAGCTTCTCTTTCTTACTCTTATTTTTATTCTTCTTCTAATAATTTTAACATTTCTTAATTATGTTTAAATTTTAGTTCTTCGATTTATTTTTGGAATTATTCCTAGTTTACTTTTTTATCATCTTAAAATTTATATTATCTTTATTATTTTTATGATTTGCTTTTAAAATTTTAATTCCTTATATTATTTGATACATGATTATTAATTTTTACTTAGTCTTATGAGTTGTTTGTGAATTTGGATTATTACTATTATTGAGAAGCAGATGAAGATTTAAACAAAAAACTTATTTATTAAGTTGATAATTTACCTTATCTAAATTTTTCCATTTTTTCATTAATAACTTCTCTTTATAAATCAATTTATTTTTTTATTAAAGATCTTTATTCAATTAATTAATGTTTTCCTACTATAATAGAATCTGTTCTATACATTTTTTCGCAGATTTTTTCTTATAATTATTCTCTTTCAAATTCCTACATTCTCTTAATCCTTTAAACATTATCTATTCTGTCTTGACGTTTTAAGTTTTGTAGATTTGCTCTAGATTTTAATCCTATTAGTTTATTTTAATGAACCTTTATAACATTCTCTTCTTTTTCTTTTAATTTAATTTCAAAAATTTACATTTGTTTTTTCATCTAATTTTCATTATTTTATTTAACATATAGCCTTTTTTTTTCCTTTTCTTTTTCTAAATATAGTAATTCTTATTGTTTTTTTTCCTTTTCAATTTCTATTTATTTTTTTTTTCTTCAGCTTTTTTTATTTTCTCAAGAAATTCAATTTTTTTTTATTATTCTTAAGCTGCAGCATTCGCCTTTTATAAATATTATTTTTAAATGAAATATATAAATATAATAAAATAAAAAATAAATACTATAATTTCTTTTATTTATGCTGCACTTGCTTCTTGTTATTGCTTTACTTGTTCTAAATGAACTTTTCTTTCTTATTCAAATATTTTTTTTTTCTCCTCATTTTGCTTTTATTTTTATTCATAATTTTATCTAATTTTTAAAAGTTCTATATCATTCTTCTCTTTTACTTATTCAAGCTTTTATTCTTATAATAATCTTTTTACCTCTGCAATCTACTGCTATTATTTTTTCTTTTCTTCTATTTTCTTTATTTTTTTTTTTTTATAAAACTTAACTTTTAAAAGTTACTTATATTCTAATAATCTCTTTTTATTTCATAATGTTTTCTCTTTATTAAGCAATTAGCTATTACTACTAAAGATTTTTTTCAATTTACTATTAAAATTCAATTTATTTTTATTTAGCCTCTTATTCTTTTAATTAAAATTCTTTTTCTTTTTCAATTCTTTTTTACTATTCTTATATAGCTTTTTACCTTTATTTTTCTTCATCTTTTTCTACCTTTTTCTTCAATTCCAATTCATATTTTTCTTATTTTTATTTTCTAAAAAATTCCATTTATTTTTTTATTTCTTCTTCCTGTTTTCTTTTAATTTCTAATTCTTTCTATTTTTCGATTTCTCTTTTTTTCTCTTCTCTTGCTTTTTGTTCATTTTCTTCTCGTATTTGTTGCATTTTTAATTCATGTTCCATCATTTGTTCCATTTCTTTTTGCTTGATATAATATTTGTATGCTTTTATATTAATAATACTTGCTTCATTTTTATTTTATCCAATTATTTTTTTTCATTTTCAATAACTGAAGAGTTTCCTCCATATATACTTTGAGAACCTTATTGAGTTTTACTATTCTATATATATATATAAACAAAACAAAAAATATATTTTATTTTTTTAAAATAAAAAATAATTAATTTACTTTGTATTATGATTCTTAACTTATACCATTTTCTATTATTCTTGTTCTTTCTTACAAACATATTTAAAGCTTTTCTTACCTTCGAGATTCGTGATGATTGTAATTTAGCTCAAGTAGACTTTTGTCTAATTATTTATCTTTATACATTTGCTTTATTTCCTCAAAATTTTTAATAATTAGTTCTTAAGGTTATATTCCTTATCTTTTACATGCTAATAATGAACGTGGACTATTTAAAATTGGAGGTTTTGATGAAGATTGATTAAAATTTTCTAAAGTTATTGCTTCCTATAAATATATATTATAAAATTTATAAATAAAAGGAATTAAAATATTTTTATTAGTTTTTTTTTTACTGCCATTTTTATTTAAATATTGGTTAATTTTTTGTTTATGTTTAAAATTATAATCTTATATATAAGTTAATTTTAAATTGTGCTATAAGTTTTATTTTTATTTTTTAAAATAAATAAAAATAAATTAAAATATTTATTCTTATAGAAAATACTAATTTATAAAATTGAAAAATTATTTATTTTTTAATAAAAAATGTTTATTTTTATATGAAATATATATATATATATATAAGAAATTATCTGATGTGAAAAAAAACTAAAAATGAAATATATGATACTAAATATAAAATTATATATAAAACAATTTATTTTATTTAATTTATATATTACTATATTTTTTTTTTATTTTTTTTTATTAAACAAAAAAAATACATTAAATTAAAATATTTTTATCAAAACAAATATGAAGTTAACTATAAAAACACTTAAAGGAAATGATTTTTTTGAAATAAACTTTTAAAACGAAACAACTATTTCATAAATAAAAGACACAATATGTTAAAAAAAAGGAGAACAATGTAAAGAAAACATAAAATTAGTACATAAAGGTAAACAATTAAACGATGATTAAAAAAATTGTCAAGAACTTGGAATAAAAGAAAATGATTTTTTAATAATGATGGTGTTTACTAAAGTTATTTTTTTTTTAAAAAAAAAAATAGCAAAAATATAAAATAAAAAATAAAAAAATGCATTTATATAAAAATAGAAATAAGGCCAAATACCAAAATAATAACCTGCTGAAATATAAAATGAATAATAGACATAAATTAATCCTCCAGTGCAATCCGATTCTGCTTAAAATCACCTTTAAAAACCCCCTTGTCAAATCTCTTAATAATAATCAACCGAAAACTCTGAATTCGAGCAAAAAGTAAAAGACATAGAAGCTATGGGTTTTGAAAAATCAAAAATAATTCAAGCATTATAGGCAGCATTTAATAATTAAGAAAGAGCAATCGAATATTTATTAAATGGAAATATTCCTATATTATAATAATAATAATAATAGCCCAATCTATAAAATTAAGAATAACCTTTAGATCCTGTAAACCTTGAAGAATTATAAGCATTAGCTCAAAATCCATAATTTTAATAAATAGTTTAGGTTATAAGGTAAAATCCATAATTGATTTTGCCTATTTTATAAGAATTATCTTAAACTAATCCTTAATTAGCTTAATTATTATAATCGAATCCCCAAGCATTTTTATCATATATATTATAATAAGAAGATTAATGTAATATAAACATGTTTTCGAAAAATATAAAAAAAAAAAAAAAAGAAGGTAGATAGTAATGAAGATGAAGGAGATGAAGAAGACTAAGAAGATTTCGAAGGATTAGATTAAGAAGATGATAATGATGAAAGTAATGCAATTTAATTAAATAATTAAGAATCTAACGATGTTGAAGAAATTATTATGCTTGGATTTGATAAAAATGATGCTTTAGAAGCATATATAGCTTGTGATAAATAAAAAGAATTAGCAATAAATTATTTATTTGATTAAAAAGATAAAGGAAATCTTTTATGTATATTTATAAAAATTCAGTCATAGTTATATATATTTAAATTCTTTTTTAAAAAAAAGCTGCTCATATTTAAAATCAAATCTAAGGATAATAAGGTAACTAAAATAGTTAAAATGAAAGAATGGAAGGTTAAGAAAGTGATGATGACATATATAAATGATTTTTATATATATTTTTATAGTTATTTAATAATTTAAAAATAATTTTTATAGATATATTTTTTATAAAAATATAAATATTTATTTTGTTTTAAAATTAAATACAAATATATATAAAAAATATAATGTTAAAATTTAATTTTTAATTTAAACATTTTTAATTATTGATATAATAAATATTTAATTAGTAAATAGAGTAAAATGAATATATAAAAATAAAATAAAAATAAAAATATATATATATATATATATATATATATATTTTTTTTTTTTTTTTTTTTTTCATATTTTTTTTAGGTTATATAAATATAGTTTATATAATCTTTTTTTGAATATACAATTAATCAAATTTAAAATTATTATAAATAAGTTACCTATCTAAAAAAATATTTATAATGTAAATTACATTTTTTTTAAATTAATTATTTATGATTTTTTGTATTTTATATTTTATTATTATTAACATGAATAATATATTTATATTTATATAAATATTAAAAATATTTTGTAAAATATATATATTTTAATTAAATAAGAAATTAATTATTTAATAAACAAATATGTATTATATACTTTAGCTATTAATAAATAAGACTTAAAAATTTTTTTATAATTTAAATATATTTATATTTATGAACTTTTGTTTATTATAAATGAATAAATTATTTATTACTTTTTAATTAATAATGTAAAATTTTAATTTAAAGTATAAAAAAAAAATAGAATTCGAAAAAAAAATATAAAATTTATTAATGAAAAGTTAAATATTAATGAATAAAATAATTAATAATTTCAAAATGTTATTCTTATCTTAAAATAAAGAAAATAAGAAATACATATGAATATATTGTAAATATATTATATATATACCATATTTAAAAAATAAATAATAATTAAATTAAAAAAAAATAACTTCTATTAATAGAATTAAATTAAAATAATTTTTTTAAAAAAATAAATAAAATTTATTTAAAAATAAATATTCATATATTATATATTTAAATTAAAATTTATTTATATAAATGAATAATATGTTTTAGTAACTTTTATATTAAATTTTAGAATAATTTTAAACAGTTGAAAAATCTTTTAAAGCGTTTGATAGAAAAGATAAAGGATTTATCGAATTTGATGATTTATCAATTGTATTAAATTAATATTTTGGAATTGATGATGAGGAATAATTAAACATAATATTTTAATAATTTAGTTAAAGTAATAGTATTATTAAAAAAGATTTATTTTAAGAAGCCTTCAAATAAATTACTTAACAAAATTAAAATGATTTTTTTAAAGATTTACTAAGCATACCATCATATAAGTCAGAATCTCCTTTTAAATAACGCTTTGATAGAGATTAATTACTTAATATATTTTAATAATCTAAAGAAACCTATCAAACAAATAATAATGACGCAAAAAATTAAAACTATGAAAAGAATGAATTAATAGATGATGATGAATAAAATTTAAGATAAGGATAAGGAAGTATTTATAACTCTTTACTCTAAAAACTAAGATAATAGTAAAATTTTAATGATTTTGTGAGAGCTTATAATAATTCATAGTTACCATTAAATAAAAATTAAGAAATAATATAAGTATCTCCTTAAAGAAATAATTAATAGTCTATTTAATATGCTTTTTAATAAATAAAATAGTTACCAAAATAAAATTAAATTTTTGAAAACATAAGCTCATAAAAGTTAGAAAGAAAAAGTACAAAAAATAAATAAATATTTAATAAATAAAATTATTTGTTTTAGGTTAAAATAAAAGTGAATAGCTTTTTAAAACATATAATGAACATTTACACTCCCCTAATTTTTAAAATAATAGTTAATATAAATAATATCAAAATAAATTAAACTAATAAAATTAAAATATATAAAATGGATTAAAGTAACATAGATATGTTTTTGATCATTATTTATCAAAAATAGGATTAGGTTATAGAAATAAATCAGTAAATTTATATAAATAAAGTTGTAAAAATAATAAATATAAATACATACTTAATACTTTTTAATCTAAAAATTAAACTTAAGACAGTAATAAATTTTAATAATAAGGAATTGTCAATACTATTAAAAGAATATAATAAGTAAAATAGTCCTTTAAATAAAATTCAATTTATTAAAATAAGATTTTCTTTTAATTTTGATATGTAATTATTCCTTTTTGTTAACACATTTATAAAATTATTATTTTTTATATTTATTCTTCATATTTTATAAATAAATTGCATTTATTTTTATATACTTTATTTTGCTTAAAATATTTTTATTTAATGTTTTAAAGATTTTCTTTTGATAAAAAAAATAAAAGAAATTTTATATTTAAATCAATATATTCGAAGAAAAAAAAACATATATCAAATTCGAATATCCAATTTATCAAGAGCAACTTTCATCCAAAATTCGGAACCAGGTTAAATCAAGGTTTCATTAAAATCATATTAGCAATCATGTAACATAGCATTTCTTTCATCTCTTTAAGAACCTAAAAAAAGAAAGCCCCAGGCTTATTTTATACATAAAAACCGAAATCTTCAGATGCTTTGACTGGCATACATCCGAAACCTACATTTTGTTCACCGAAATATTCTTTTGCAATTCTTTCTATATCATTAGCTTCTTTCTCAGTATTAGATAGTATAGGGAAAGTATTTTTCCAATCTAATTAGTAATCTACTTTATTTTAATATTTAATTTCTTCAAGTATTTAAACTAAATCTTTTTTAAATTCTTCATCAAAACCATTTTCAAGAGATCTAAAAGTTCCACTTAAAAATGCAGTTTAAGGAATCACATTATATCTTAATTTTATAAAAATATAATTATATATATATATATATATATATATATATATATATATATATATATATATATATACCTTTCTCCTGCTTAGAATATAGGCAAAGTACATACAAATTATCTATTTTTATGCTTTTCGTTAATTTATCTAAACTTAATATGAAAATCAATTGCTGCTTAAATAGGATCTATTGCTTTCAAAGGTTCACTACCATGTCCTCCTTTTCCAATAATAGTTAATTTAATTATACATACCTAAGCCATTACAGGTCCTGGTTTAACCATTAAATAGCCTACTTTATGTGTTGGCCAATTATGGAATCCATAAACCTATTTTAATTTTTAATTTTTTTTTTTTTTTCATTTTGATTTTTTTACCTCATCGACATTTTATAAACAACCATCTTTTATCATTTCAATAGCCCCACTTTCTGGTCCTTCTTCGGAAGGTTAAAATAAAAGTCTAATAGTTTTATTAGATGGAACTTCATTTATTTTTTCCATAAATAAACTCGCAAATCCAAGCAAACATGTTGTATGACCATCATGTCCACACATATGAGCTGCACCATTTACACTTTAGTATTCTAAATGGGGATTCTATTCTGTCATTTATAATGCATCTATATCAGCTCTAAATGTTATAGTTCTTTTCTCACCTTTGGGTTCAGGACGGCCTTTTTATAAATTTTTATTTTATAATTAATTTCATATATTTTATTTATTTACCTTATAAATCAACAAATAAACCTGTTTTAGCTATTTTTTTTATGTTTTATTAGGAAACACCAAGTTAAATTAAATAATCTTAAATAGATATTTAAGTCTAATATTCTTTAAAACTTGTTTCTGGGTTTTAATGCATTTGTCTTCGAAATTTTATTAGGTTTTTCAAGTTAAATAATTAAGTTGACATTTTTATTTGTATTTATATTATTATAATATATATATAAATATTTAATTCATTTTATATGCAAAATATCTATATATTAGATAATTCGTATTAAATTGAAATTTGATTATTATTATTTTTCAAAGATTTATCAATAATAAATATTTAAAAATAATGATATTATTATAATAAAAAAATTATTTATTTATTATTCTATATAATTAATCTAATAAAAAACAAAAGGATCATCACATATAATTAATTTTAGATATATTATATATATTTATATTTTTTTTATTTAAATATTATTATCTTCATTTTTTTTTATTATTAACTTATTTAAAAGGATTTTTTCTATAAAGTAAAGGATGTAAAATAATTCCTAAGGAAATATTTACAATAGCAGCATAATAAAAATAAGGATATTATTCAAAATAATTAGCCATTTTTTCATAAAACAAATAAATAGCTTCTTTTGTTAAAACATTTCTTGGAATATTTTCAACAAATTCAGGTAAAACTTTTAAATAATTTTTTTCTACAAATTTGATTACGTTTTCAGTATTTTTTGGCATCAATCTTGGAGCAAAAAATGCTTTTCCATTTTTAAAATATGCAATTTGAGGTAAATCATTTATTTAGAAATATTTCTTTACTTCAGTATTTATTAGAATATCACAATGTGCAATTTTAATATTTTATTATTTATTAATTTTTTATATTGCTTAAATAATATCGTTCCAATCACTTAATGCTTTTTTAGATTTATATTATTAATTGCTTACAAATATTACTAAGTATTCTTCTTCATATAATTATTTTTTGAATTGTACTAAGTTTTTATCAGTTATTTCTTAAGAATCTTAAATTGAAAGTGTATTTCCCAATGATAGACATATTATTACTACAAGAACTATTTTATGAATTTAAGTCATATTTATTATATTTATAAAAACCAAATTATTTTATATTAATTATAAAAATATGTTTGATAAATTATAAATTATTTTCTATTTAAACAAATAAAATATTCTATATGTATTTTTCTTATTTACTTAATAAATGCAATTATATTTTTTTTTGATTCCTTTTATTTCTTATGGAATTAATATACATTTTAGATTTATATTTAAATTAGATATAAATAAAAAATTCTAAATCACATATAGCAAAATACATTTTTTTTAATAAATTTTTTATATATATAAACTAAATAATAATCTTATAAAAAGTTTTCTGAAATACCGAAAATATTTAAATATTTTAAATAAAATATATAAATTAAATTTATAATTTTTTATATTATTATTATTCTACATACAATTTATTAATAAATTCTTATTCATTAAACTTTCCCATTCAAAAGATATTACGATTAAAAATAGTTTAAATATAAATAATTTAATATATGTCGCATCAAAATGTATATATCCAACAGAATATGATTGTATTAAATGTAATATTAGTCCAAATATTTATGGTTATACTGCATGCTATAAATTATTAGAATACAATTCGTATTTTAACTTATCAAAATGGATAAAAATATGTTACTAATAGAAAATGTTATGAATATGATGATATATTTAATAAATGTACCAATAGTATACTTAATAGCTGCAATACTGATTTTTATATTTTTGAAGGCAGAATCATTCACAAAAGATCTGATTAAGATAGTTATTTTGTTTTCATAAAATGAATATTATAGACAATGATTTTAAAATTATGGAGAGGACACACGACTAAATTATACTAATTGCCTTTTAATATAAGTTTCGTAATATATCCAGCAGATAAAAGTTTTAAAGAAAGTTTTATAAAATGATAATTAATATATAAAATATATATTTATTGCAGTCAATGTAATCTTAATTGCCTTTTTCATGTATAAGTGAATTATTATGCACTAAATACAAACCCGAAAAAATACCTTTATCAAAATCATATGTGTGGAGGATCGAATTTTATAAGAAGGATTTTTTATTTAATAAATCAATTTTTTGTTTCAAATTTAACAAGGAATGTTAAGCATGTACCAGCGCCAATACAAACGTTCGTAAATTATTTAAGCATTTTTTTATATAAATAAAAATAACTTGGCGTGATTATTATAATAAACATGAATTTAGTATAGGAAAATAGTTTTATATTTAATATGATTATAGTTATTTAACATGTAAACATGAAGTTATAACATACTTATCCTAAATGAAAATAATTTTTTATAATTTATGTCGAAATTGTTAAGGTTTTTTTAAATTAAGCGACAAATAGAAGTTTATGATATAATGAAAACAAAGAAAGTTTATAATATGAAAGTTAATATTCTGTATATATAAGAATGGATTATGTAAAACTTGTGATACATGAAATAAATTTCGATGATAATAAATGATATAAATGCAACTCTTCCATACCATACGAGTTTGGAGAGTTAGAGATTCTAATGTTTAAAATAAGTAACGCAGATTAAGATTTGATTAAATAAAAAAACAATATATATGATATTATTAATTGTTTTTATATATAAGAAACTAACATTGAATGCAAAAATGCATCATATTAATTTCATATTGACAACAAATGTAAACCCTGTGACCAAAATCTTTTTTATCCATTTAAAAAAATATTTTATTGAATCCAAAAATATGTCATATTACTTACATATTGACAATAAATGTAAACCCTATGAACAAGATAATCGTTTTTTTATCCAATTAATAAAATATTGTATAGAATGTCACCGAACATGATAAAAATTTTAAGGAAATTTAAACACTTAATACATTTTCTGTATTAAAGGATATGGCTTTTCATACATCAACTCATCATCAGTTATAAATACATGTATTAACTGTGAAGAAATAAAAGCTTATTCACCTAATACTTAGAGAATTATAATTTTTATCAAAACTGTAGTTCTTAATGTAAAACATTTAAAAATTTTAATAAATAATCCACTTATAGTAATAAACTTTTAAAAACATTTTATGATTAAATATGTGAATCATGTAAAACAGCAAAAGGTTTAATATATTCTAAATAATTGTATTAATTGTAATATTGAATATATTGAATTCTATGGTTAATTAATAAAACAAATAATAATAATACTTATAAGTCAGGATTATTTTTTGATATAAATAATGTAAATTGCGATGTAAAAATTGCTTTTTTATAACAAACTAAAGATTATGTGGAATGTTTCAAAAAAATGAAAAAAAATTTAATAGGTTTATACTAAAATTAAAAGCTTTTTACATTTCATTATATATTATTTTTTAAACATACAAAAAAATTTATTTTAAGTTAACATTTATATATATTCAATGTTAATTTATATATATTTAGAACATTCTATCATAAATTAAGATAGATATTTAAATAAATACTTAATAATAATTGATTTATTAAATTAAATAATTTTAATTATATAAAAACGAAAACACTATTTATTTGTATATGTTTTATATTTTTATATGTAATTATAATTATTTTAAATTTGATTTTTCTAATTATTAAAAATAAATATATATATATAAATAAATATTTATATATATAAATATAAATATATATATTATATTTAATATATTTATTTATATATATTTATATATTTATATTTTTTATATTAGATATTTTAAAAAATATTCTTTTTTTCATTTTAATAAATTCTTGTTTATTATTATCATATAATTATATAAATGGATATGTATATGTTTATTTTATTAAATTATTTTAAGTATTTTTTGCTTTAAATACATATATCATAAAAAATTTTTTTATATTAAATATAAAATTAAAAGATTTAAAGATAACACTAATTAAATAACTATATTATTGAAATAAAAAAATATTAAGAAAAAAAATAGTAATATTTTATTAATTAATAAATAAAAAGATGTTAAATATATATATTTTAATTACATTTATATATATATATATATAAATATATATATATTTTTATATATATATTTATATATATTTTAAATTTTATTTATTATATTAAAAAATTAATAATTATTTTATTAAATTTAAAATATTATATATTATATTAGTATTTTTCATATTCGGATATAAATATATAAATAAAATTTTTAATACTAATACTAATTTTAATTTTTTATTTTTTTATTTATATTTTAATATATAATTTTAAAAAAATATATATAAATAATTAATATAAAAAAACATATTAAAATTTATTTTTTTAAAGAAATTAAACTAAATATTAATTGATATTTAATATTTTAGATATAATTTTTAATAATAATTATTTATATAAAATTTATATAATATAAAAAAAATTCTAATATAATTTTTACAATTATTTAATTTAATTAAAAGTATTATTATTGTGTAAACTTTAAATATTTTTGAAAAAAGTAAGCTATTTTATACCGAATATTTTTTAATTTATAAAAAAGAAAAAAACAAATTATTAAAGTTTATTTTCTTATATATAAAATAATTATATAATAATATATATATATAAAAATTAATATATTTTATTAATTTTCATTTTTCATCCTCATCATCATCGTCCTCATAATCTGAATCATTTTTTTTTTATGTAATTAAAACCATTTATTTTCCTATTTTTTTTAACAAAAAATATTTTTATACATTTATTTGTTTAAATATTATGCCTATTGCTCCTATCCATTATTCTTTATCTTAATTATTTTAGGCTAATATGAAATATTTTGTGTCTTATACTTCAAGTTTCTATTGAAATTATTTAAATTTAATTTATAAATTTCAAGTATTATTAAATAGAAAAAAATGAAAATATAAATTATAATTTATCATAATAAATTAATTAAAGTATCATTAAAAATTATTTTTTACAAACGAGCAGGGCTTATTAGTTTCATCTTCTGCTGATTTAATTGTGGTTACTTATTTAAGTGTAATTGATTCGGTCGGATTTTTATATACTTTTTGTTCTTTAAAGGAATAAAGTTTTTATT